GCTCACACTGGTTCCCGGGCCCCTTTCGATCGCAACCGGGAAAAAAAAAAATATTTTATGGATTTATATCTTCGATAAGAATTTTATACCTAAGTGGATAAAAAACATTGAAAAATTATATTTTCAGAAAGAATTGTTCCAAGGTGTGTGTCCGTAATCTCGAAAAATTTAAATCTTTATAGTTAATCTTCTTCTTTAAGTAAAGTACAATTTCATTTTCCATTTGCTACCCAAAGAATGTTGAAGAATTAAACGTTCTCTAAGAACTTCTGCGTTCTAAAAAAAGTAAAAGCGTTCTGTGGGACACTAGTCAATTTCCTTTGCAATCAACAGCTAGAATTGCAAATTTTAGGTTATAGCGTATGAAATGACCAATTTTTAGAAATTCATACTTCATTGAAGATCAGAAATTAATAGAAAGCGGGTGTATATATATATACACAAATACTAAAAAATTAAAGATCATCGTAGCATGGAAATTTGAAATTTTGGAAAAGTCATTATACTTCTTGTTTCTAACCTTTCCTTATTTTTAACACTTTGACTGCCACGCTGGTTTCGCTGAGGACGCCACGGGGGAATTTTTATTATTCAAAGCATATAATGGCAGAATAATAATAAATTGATGATGTAAGACAACATTCTCCCACAATGAACCATTTATCTTGTTGGTGGTCACGGGTGACCACCGTGGCGTCTTGGTAACAGTTGATAGCGGCATATTATAACAAGGCTTCGTTTATTTCAACAAACCATTCGCATTCGTTGTTTCGTCGCAAGCAAAACGTGCAGAACATATTGTTGAAACGTGTATATGTTAGTAAACAGTATTTGCTCGTCCTATATATAACAGTAAGGTATGTTCACACTTCTAACCTCAATTATATGATTATAAAGCAGCATTCACAATTATTTTCTAAGGTGTGTTTATAATAATATTCGTAAATTATTGACAATTGGTAGAGTATTGACAAACACAATGCACAGTTAGATGCAAGATTTGTTCCCATTTTTTTTTATTGATGTTCTAATAAAAACATTTAATTGTTCAATGGGGCACTTTTTATTTTTTCTATTTATAGGTTATCTTCTATTTACAACAAGGCTTAGTTATTTCAACAAACCATTCGCATTCGTTGTTTCGTCGCAAGCAAAACGTGCAGAACATATTGTTGAAACGTGTATATGTTAGTAAACAGTATTTGCTCGTCCTATATATAACAGTAAGGTATGTTCACACTTCTAACCTCAATTATATGATTATAAAGCAGCATTCACAATTATTTTCTAAGGTGTGTTTATAATAATATTCGTAAATTATTGACAATTGGTAGAGTATTGACAAACACAATGCACAGTTAGATGCAAGATTTGTTCCCATTTTTTTTTATTGATGTTCTAATAAAAACATTTAATTGTTCAATGGGGCACTTTTTATTTTTTCTATTTATAGGTTATCTTCTATTTACAATAAGGCTTAGTTATTTCAACAAACCATTCGCATTCGTTGTTTCGTCGTACGCAAAACGTGCAGAATATATTGTCGAAACGTGTAGACGATATTAGTAAACAGTATTTGCTGATTGTATGTATAACGGTAAGGTATGTTGACACTTCTAACCTCAATTGTATGATTATAAAGCAGCATTCACAATTATTTTCTAAGGTGTGTTTATAATAATATTCGTAAATTATTGACAATTGGTAGAGTATTGACAAACACAATGCACAGTTAGATGCAAGATTTGTTCCCATTTTTTTTTATTGATGTTCTAATAAAAACATTTAATTGTTCAATGGGGCACTTTTTATTTTTTCTATTTATAGGTTATCTTCTATTTACAACAAGGCTTAGTTATTTCAACAAACCATTCGCATTCGTTGTTTCGTCGTACGCAAAACGTGCAGACATATTGTTGAACATGTAGAGATATTAGTAAACAGTATTTGCTCGTCCTATATATAACAGTAAGGTATGTTCACACTTCTAACCTCAATTATATGATTATAAAGCAGCATTCACAATTATTTTCTAAGGTGTGTTTATAATAATATTCGTAGATTGTTGACAATTGGTAGAGCATTGACAAACACAGTGCACAGTTACATGCAAGATTTGTTCCCATTTTTTTTTTATTGATGTTCTAATTAAAACATTTAATTGTTCAATGGGGCACTTTTTATTTTTTCTATTTATAGGTTATCTTCTATTTACAACAAGGCTTAGTTATTTCAACAAACCATTCGCATTCGTTGTTTCGTCGTACGCAAAACGTGCAGAATATATTGTCGAAACGTGTAGACGATATTAGTAAACAGTATTTGCTGATTGTATGTATAACGGTAAGGTATGTTGACACTTCTAACCTCAATTGTATGATTATAAAGCAGCATTCACAATTATTTTCTAAGGTGTGTTTATAATAATATTCGTAGATTGTTGACAATTGGTAGAGCATTGACAAACACAGTGCACAGTTACATGCAAGATTTGTTCCCATTTTTTTTTTATTGATGTTCTAATAAAAACATTTAATTGTTCAATGGGGCACTTTTTATTTTTTCTATTTATAGGTTATCTTCTATTTACAACAAGGCTTAGTTATTTCAACAAACCATTCGCATTCGTTGTTTCGTCGTACGCAAAACGTGCAGACATATTGTTGAACATGTAGAGATATTAGTAAACAGTATTTGCTCGTCCTATATATAACAGTAAGGTATGTTCACACTTCTAACCTCAATTATATGATTATAAAGCAGCATTCACAATTATTTTCTAAGGTGTGTTTATAATAATATTCGTAGATTGTTGACAATTGGTAGAGTATTGACAAACACAGTGCACAGTTACATGCAAGATTTGTTCGCATTTTTTTTTTATTGATGTTCTAATAAAAACATTTAATTGTTCAATGGGGCACTTTTTATTTTTTCTATTTATAGGTTATCTTCTATTTACAACAAGGCTTAGTTATTTCAACAAACTATTCGCATTCGTTGTTTTGTCGCAAGCAAAACGTGCAGAATATATTGTCGAAATGTGTAGACGATATTAGTAAACAGTATTTGCTTATTCTATGTATAACGGTAAGGTATGTTGACACTTCTAACCTCAATTATATGATTATAAAGCAGCATTCACAATTATTTTCTAAGGTGTATTTATAATAATATTCGTAGATTACTCCTCAAAGATATGGACGCAGACACAATGCGCAGTTAGATGCAAAATTTCTTCTCCTTTCCTTTTTATTGATGTTCTAATAAAAACGTTTAATTGTTCAATCAGTAGCAGTCAAAGTGTTAGTTAAATATATATATATATTTGATATTGCAGAACATTGAACGTAGATCTTACGATACAAAAAATTATGAAGCGAAAGTGAATCGATAAAATAGACTTGCAATCCGAGTGTTGGAACAAACTCGTCTACCGTGAGAATCATTTACATAGCGAATTGATTTTGTGGAAGGCTGCTTTCAACAAATTCCACCTAGGAAGTCGAGAGCTCAGCCAACACGTCAATCGGCGTCGATCGACAAGAGGAGGCCGAGCGTCCGGCAGAAAGAAAAAGCAATTTCTTGGCGCGCTAATGTCGTCGAAAATGAATTTTTCACGCGGATACGGAAGTTGGTCGACGCTCCACGTTCCTCGCGTGTACACTTGCTCCGTAACGTCGCGCGTACATACACGAGGACGCGCGAGCACGTGCACCAACACGACCGTCTGCATAGCCGTGCAAGACTTGCCACGTCACCGGCACTCGGATCCGCGTCTATCTGTCAGTTTCCAGTCTCAAACAAGATGGATGGCTGGCGAATGGAAATCATGGTTGAAACCCAACCCCACACCTTTGCATCCTTCCATCGGGTGGAAAGGGAGACGAAGAAAGAGAGAGAATGCGAGAGGGAGGGCGCCCCACCATTCTGTTTGAGACCACCCTTATACCGAGAGAGCCACCACCCTCGCGTTATTCCGCGCTTCGATCTCGTATCATCCCCTTTCGCGTCTTTTGTGCTTTAAAATACAAATACGCCGGAGAAAAGAGATCGCACGCAACCTCCTTTTTTCCCTCTTCGATTTAATATCTGTCGGATCGCGTACTTTTTTCATGGCGACATTTTTAAGTTTTTAGAACAGCCGCTGGAGGATTTTGCACGATAAAATTTTCGACTCGGGTTAGGCTAAGATTAGATCGTTAATGCGTTTCCGGGTTCAGCAATAAGTTGATATAGATATAGAAAATTGTTATAAAAAAGAATGGGGAAATACATATCTTTTCATAGAAGGTAATATGTGTTTATGAAGAGATAAAACAACAATTTCTGTTTTATATTATTTTATTGAGTTAGGTATGGTCCATTTCGTCATATTTCTATTATTATGCATAATTCAATAAATTAATACAAAACAAAAAACATTGTGCATCTGTTATTTCCCTATAAAACGAAAGAAACTTTTCGGACAACCTAATAGTTCGTGCCGAATGGTAGATCCTCTTTTTTGATTTGTAAAGTAGAAAATATGAGATTCACAGTCGAAGCGTGGTATGGTCCGCGCTGAATTGATCGGAATCTGCTACCATCGTGGAAAATGGCGCTATTCATACCATACATTATGTATGATTAGCATGTAGTCTTCAGGTTTTTAGATTTCAAGATAGCAATAGGAAAGTATTAGGTTGTCCGAAAAGTTTCTTTCGTTTCATAAGGTGATAATAAATAAACAACAATTCCCGTTTTATTATTATATTATTTTACTAAATTAGATATGATCCATTTCATTTTATTTCTATTATGTTTATACATAATTCAATAAACTAATATAAAACAAAAAACATTGTGCGTCTATTATTTCCTAGTAAAACGAAAGAAACTTTCCGGATAACCTAATAGCAATGGAAGGCTGCACAGGCACTGTCATGGAAAGTTGGTTAAAACAGTTTTTTTTACCAAATATTGCGTATTTGCAAATGCCAACATTATTCTAACACGATCTTAAAGGTAAATTCTCCTTTCATAAAAAACAAGGTTTCAATATCATCCGCATTTTCCGCTTCTTTCTCGAAGATATGCCAAACTTGATAAAACTGATCAAACGTTTTTATTTACGTCGATAAAGGCACTGTTGAAGCGAACAGAGATCTGAGAAGGGGAACAGTAGGAAGTGGTTAGGGTATTTATTTTCTCGGAAGCTCTCTTAGGGAATTTCGATTCGAGATTCACAGAAACAGTCGGTACAAGTTGTGCGTGGACTCGCGTGAACGTGCATTCTGCCAATAAATACAATGGACCACGGGATGGCTGTGGATCTACAGCGGGATCTATAAGCATTTGAATCTGAATCGGACGTTTCTTACCGCCTTTACTCGCGAATACGATTTCGAAAGATTCCTACCGTGATCCAAGATGAATAATGGATGGATAATATTAAGAGAGGGCCGACTCTTACTTGTATAAATGGTATATAATACAAGCACTTTTTTCCCGAGGGTTCCCTTCTTTTTTCTAAGAACTTTCCAAAAGGAGGATCGAACTGTTTGCGATGAAATCGATGAATTGTACGACGACTTGTGTATTTTTAGATAAATACGGAATTGCTTCTTGTTATTTGCTATTCCTGAAAATATTCTTAACACTAGTGATAACAAATAGTCACTAGACTATAGTACAAAATTTGTACTAAAGAGATCATAATAAAAGGTACATATAATTATTTATTATATATTGAATCTAATTATAGTATTTGTATATTAAATAGACAATCGTCTACCCATATACTACACAAAAAATCATAGAAAATTTCAAAAGGTACTTAGATAAATACTATAAATACTATACTATATATATATATATGTTTAGTATTTAAGTATTTTAGTATTAAGTATTTAGTATTTAGTATTTTAGTATTAAGTAAAAAATACAATATTACTATATATATATATGTTATATTGTATTTTTTACTTTAATTATGTATTTTGATAAATATATATCCAGTAATATATATAAGTCCAGTATATCTCCCAGAAAAATACATAATTCATAAAAAATACATAATTAAAGTAAAAAATATAATATATGTAATATATATACATGCAGTAAAAATACATAATTCCAGCAGCGCTTACACCTAATAAAGGAACCATGTAATGCAAAATATTCGACCACCCTACAAGGCAACCGCAGAAAACAGCGGCTTGGGTTAACAGTCTACGATATAACCCTTCCAACGGATTCTTAAACCGCCGGCTGGCGAGCCATAAAGGCTAAACATTAGGAATCGCGAAAAATTTATCGAGCACGCGCGCGTGCACGGGGGCCCGGGGATCCGTTGGGGCGAGGCACGACTTTTCCTTCGGCTAAACTGTAGAAAAATTGAAATGGGCGAGGCGAAAGAATGAATAAAGATCAGGGAAACGCGAGTTTGGTGGTGAGAGGGTTAAAGGGGTGGCGGAAGTGGATTGCAGGCACGTAAACCGGCAACTCGGTTGCCCTGGAAGTGGCTAGGAGGGACGAGGCTGTGCACGCGAATGATATTAGGTAGAAACGCATGAACTTTGATATATTTCTGGAGGTGGAGGCCGACTGTTGGGATGGAATCCACCGTACTAGCGGAAAAGCAGGCCGTACGACGCCATTCCACGGTAAGATTCTTCGCACGAGCGCTTTTCTGCAACGTGATATCGATTTCTATCGATCTGATTTTTAAAATCGACATATCTTTATGCGATGCTGAATAATCCTTAGGAGGACAATTTCTAAATGATATTTAATGGACTTAATTTCCGATAGAAAATATCTAAGAGAAAATAAAGTGGAAACGGAGGAAAGAAAGTTTATAATTTTAGGTTAAATAAGCATGAATATATACGAAATATATAAGAACACATAAAATATTTTTTAGTATTAGGTTGTCCGGAAAGTGTCTTTCTTTTACAGACACGTCTTTTATAACGATGTATCTTTATAGAAACATGAAACATAATCTATCGAACTTTGTGATCTTTCTTTTGATAGAACTATTGAGATATGTATAATTTTCTAGGTTAGCTGCGTAGTAGCGATACTTGTATGTGAATATCAGTGTGTGGAAATATGTGTGTGCGTGGCGTCTCGAAAACAAAAGAATGTAAACTGTTCAGTAACAGTCTGGTATAGAAAAAGGTATGACGCGTGCAAGTGTGTATCGACGAATATCTTTGAAATCGTTTATCAAATAAATATATAAATACTCTAATATGAATTCTAATTGTAAATTTAATGTTCCTATACCATTATTTCGGCTATTAAGATCCAAAACTCTCAACAAATATAAAACAAAAATTGTTGCTCATCTATCACCTTATGAAAGGAACGAAACTTTCCGGATAACCTAATACTATTGAAACAATGAATATAACATAACACAAGTGAAAAGTATTTTTTTTTTTTTTTTTATGGAAATTATGTTATTTGGATTCTAGGAGATTTCGTTATGAATTTTCAAGTCTTTATAAGAAATATACTAAAGTATTTTAAGTATGTTACACCACGTCATTGCGATTGTGTAACAATAATTAACATCGTGCTACCAATACAACCGGTGCACTTTTAGTTTTCGTGTGTTTCAAGAAATCCCATCGGACAATTGAACGAAATGGCGGAGAAGAATCGTTAGAATAATCATCGCAGCTCAAAGTAAAGGCATTTGTGGTGAAAACAATGTACAAATCCAGGAGTGAGACAGGTAAATACACAAGTATTTTATTACAGGTAAATACACACCATCGAACGTATTAGTATTTAGAATAGTTTACACAGGTTAGAGATCCTTTTCTATCGGACTCGTCGTTTGCTTTGATGTATTAGGTTGTCCGGAAAGTGTCTTTCTTTCGCAAACGTGTTTCATACAACAGTGCACCTTCGTACAAACGTGAAAGCAAGTCTGTGAAACGTCGCGGTGTTTATCTCGACATAACAAAATGGATCGTTCGACGAAATAATATAAAACAAAAATCCTTGTGCGTCTATTATTTCTCATAAAACGAAAGAAACTTTCCGGACAACCTAATAGAAATCAATTTTTCCCTAAGTTAAATTCCATTAAATGCGTTCATAAAAATATGCAGTTGGATAAAAACCATGAGATTAATTAGTTTGTTAAAAACAGATAAAAATATGAGAAATAAGCGCTAAGTCAAAAATGGGAAAACTCTAGAATACTTCCTTCTTTACAATATAATACGATTATTTAGAAATCACAGTGTATATTGAAGGATAACTGAAATATAGCGAGAATCGTTTTTTGAAGATCCTTAAACACGGTTCAAAGCAGAATTGCCGAGGCAGAAGAATCAACGGGAGGAAGTTTTCATCGACGAAGGGAAACGGAAGGAAATGTGGCTGTTAGTTGTTCCGGCCGAAGCGGGATGCATCGAAGAGTGGCAACGGTGCGAGAATTGGGGAAGAACGAGAAGTAAGAAGAACAAGCAACCCAAAGGGAGAAGGACGAAAAAACAGAGATAAGAGAGAGAGAGAGAGAGATGGCGTAGAGAAGCCAGCGGAAGGCGGAAAACAAGGGAAAATAAAGCAGCGGAAGAATCGCGTCGCAGGAAAAAGAATGAGGGCGCTGTCAGCTGGTGGAAATTATTCTGATTATGCTAATTCCGGTTCTGTTCCACTCCTTTACCCAGCCGTCCCCCAGACCCATTGCCTCCCTGCTGCTGTCTGCGCCATCTTTCATGGCTGATATTTATAATATAGGGGTGCTCGAGCAGTTTCAAACTCTTTTTGGCCCCCGAGCTCGCAACCCCCCTCCCCACCCTCGACCATCATTTGGCCCTCCATCGAGAACCACCCCACGGCACGCTCCACTGTCTTCGGGCTTTTCGATAAATTTATTCATATTCCAAGGAAAATTTCGTCGCTAGTCTCGAGAGAACTCGGTCAACTAGAGCCTGTGGTCCCGCGGCACTCGAGCTTAGCCGCGATTTACCTTTGAGAATCTAACCGCGACGACTTTGTTAGCCCAGCATTGTGAAAACAGAGCCATTACAGAGTATTTTCATTTTCTTTCTATGTTTTCTAGGTTATCTCGTTCCTCGAAATTGAGAAGAGTGGGGATGGATTTGGAAACGAAAGAGCGAGACACATAACCTCAGCGCTTAGCGTGCACGTTCGTAATCTTCCTCTCAAGGTCGTAAGTTTTCCTTTTTAATTAAAGGTGCTTTCTATTCATGTCCGGAGACTGACACGCCCACGGTTAAAGTTACGCTACGTTATTTTACGCTTCGTGGAAAATCTTCCTTTCCTCTGATATTGTCGTTCGATCGTTTTCTTTGCTTCGCTGTAATTTACAGCATAAAATTCATAGACGACAGATTGAGAGAATCTGACACCGAATCGATCGGGATAGCGAGGCATTATGGACAGTTTCAAGGGACGATTGTCAAACACTCGTGGTCTGTCGTCTTTGCAAACATGAATAAAATACACACGTACACCGATGATTAAATAGCCTTGTGTTTGCTCGGGCAATAAGCGGATCTATCTCGCTTTACCCTCTGTTAACTCTTCGATAAAAAGTGACACAGTCATATTTGATTTCTTATTACACCTCCCACAAGGCAGTCAATACGGTTTCCACATAAAACCAATAACGAAGATTTGCTTGCTATAGATGGGTACTATATAAAAATCATAAGATGTTAATATGATCTTAAAATATTTTCTATTTTTCCTTTTTTCTATTTTAGCTCATGTACAGACTGCAGATGTTTAGGCAAATTCATATTTCTGTAAGAAACTTTATTTCATACATTAAATGCATAATGTTATAACTACTATGCAATGAATATGATACTATGTTTTATACGTTTTTCAGCAATATATGTAGCGGCACATGCGTCACAGGACCTTTCGGCACGAAGATGCCTGAATTAAATGTTTTGCCACAGAGGATTAACACTATACGACGCACATAATGTAATAAACAAACTCTACAACCGGCGACAAGTTCAAATTTCGCGGTACCTCCCCTCCACCAGTATAAATAGAGGACCGTGTTCTCCAGACATAGTCAGTCGGTCGAGCGAATGAATATAACAAATCAGTCTAGCGAATCAGCATAACAATTAGTATCAGTACTGCAGTATCGTGCAATCTTATAACGAATATCATCAAGTCGAGCAACGATTGCAATTAACTTTGTATTCTACATTTTAGAATATCTGTAAATGTAGTTAATTGATTTAACTAACTACACTTCACACCGTCCACCACATATGTATTCTAAGCATTTTTTAATATTCCATAAATCTGTATCTATCGCTTTGCAACACAATAACTCTCTATTCTGCACATTAATTAATAATTTATTATAATAGACAAGACTATCAAATAGCAAGTCCAACATTGTTTCAAATAATCATTAGGTTAGTAAAATTATATATCGTCCATCTATGTACAATTGATTTAACTAACAACACATGTAAGCATTTTTTAATATTCCATAAATCTGTATCTATCGCCTTGCAACAAAATAACTCTCTATTCTGCACATTAATTAATAATTTATTGTAATAGACAAGGCTATCAAATAGCAAGTCCAACATTGTTTCAAATTTATATATCGTCCATCTATATACAATGGATTTAACTAACAACACATGTAAGCATTTTTTAATATTCCATAAATCTGTATCTATCGCCTTGCAACAAAATAACTCTCTATTCTGCACATTAATTAATAATTTATTGTAATAGACAAGGCTATCAAATAGCAAGTCCAACATTGTTTCAAATTTACATATCGTCCATCTATATACATTCTATTCGCACGTATTTCCATCGCCAACCTATTTGTCTGTCGATATAACGTTAAGAGTATTGCAGGGTTAAGTATCACTGTACCGTTGGCAGAGCCTAACTGCGCCACCTCTAAACCTAATCCACGCTAAACTAACCTTCAATTGCCGTCATTCACGTAGCCAACAAGATCCTCTCGCAATCGCGTTAAGCCACGCTGTCTAAACTCCCTTCGCGTTTTCACCGACAACGCATTATCCGTCCCCCTTACGAGCGAGAACGTGTGTGGCAGCGTCGTGGAAGCGTCGCGTCGCAAATACAGAGATCGCGTAGTTATTAATAACATTATTAATCGCGAAGGCTCGTGCAAGTGGTGCGAAATTCGAGAAATCAAAGCACAGTTATTACTCAAGCCGTGGCCGACAATACGAGGCTGCTTTATTCCAGCCGGATATGTAGGTTAGCAGCGAGCCTAACAGAAGTGGCGGACAATGAGAAGCGAGAGGATGATCCAAGACTGAGAGAAAAATAGCGCACGCGAGAGTGAGACGGTTAGCAATCTTCGTAGGTGGGCGAACGCGTCACCTTTAATTAATCACGCGACTGTATTATTTCCCGTTTAAGCTCCCCTTTTCGGTGGCCCATCGAGAAAGAGGCAATGGACGAGCAGAGAAGAGAAGAGACGCAACGGGAATCGTAAGCGAGAGACGCTTTGCTTGAGACGTACGGTACAAAAGAGGAGCGGGAAAGCAAAGCTACGGCCACCTTTACAGACAGCCTTCGTATAAACATGTCAGTCCGCCGAGGCTCGTCTCGAGAAACGGGCCCGCGTTCATCCATCACTTCGTCCCCCTGACTTCCTTCGTCTAGCCTTCCTCTACGATACGTCCTCCGCCCCCTCTTCCCTCCTCTATTGCTTTTCGTTGTGCCGTTGCTCACAATTCGCGGCTATTTTTCTCGCCACTCGTACTCCACAGCAAAAAAATATCTTTCAAATGGCAAACCGCTGGTGAGAGGCTACGTAACGGGAAAGCTGGTCTCGCGGGCCCCCTATTTTCGCCGGTTCCCGCCGCGAGAATTTGTTCTGCACATGTACCGTTAGCAACGCCGCTGAATCTCCAGAAGATTCGAGGTTTTTGCGTTTCGTTCGAGTGTGAAACGACTGCAATGCATTAATGGCCAACGATTCAGATCATTCGAGCGTTCGTCTTCCAGTATTCAACTGCAGGTTAACGTTTTGTCTACCACGCCGAAATCACATGTCCCGCTCAGGACGCTGCGGCTTTAGCCTTCTTAAACGTGAAAATTGCTTGCCAATTGTATTTGAATTTCCGCGTCGATTTTCGTGGTTTATGAAAAGGATTTGAGGAAAGCAGATAAAAAAGGACAAAAGTACTGCTTTAGTAATTATCGGTTGCTCTAATTTCGGGCAATATTATGCCTGTCTTGTTCACGTATTCATATACCGGGTTTTGCTTAAATTCAGCATCGAATTAACCTACAAAGTATCTGTGGGAATACCTTGAAAATAATTTCAAGGCCATCAATTCAGTTTTGCGTGTCAATATCTATTTCTTATATTATGTATACGGATGATCCAAGACTGAGAGAAAAATAGCGCACGCGAGAGTGAGACGGTTAGCAATCTTCGTAGGTGGGCGAACGCGTCACCTTTAATTAATCACGCGACTGTATTATTTCCCGTTTAAGCTCCCCTTTTCGGTGGCCCATCGAGAAAGAGGCAATGGACGAGCAGAGAAGAGAAGAGACGCAACGGGAATCGTAAGCGAGAGACGCTTTGCTTGAGACGTACGGTACAAAAGAGGAGCGGGAAAGCAAAGCTACGGCCACCTTTACAGACAGCCTTCGTATAAACATGTCAGTCCGCCGAGGCTCGTCTCGAGAAACGGGCCCGCGTTCATCCATCACTTCGTCCCCCTGACTTCCTTCGTCTAGCCTTCCTCTACGATACGTCCTCCGCCCCCTCTTCCCTCCTCTATTGCTTTTCGTTGTGCCGTTGCTCACAATTCGCGGCTATTTTTCTCGCCACTCGTACTCCACAGCAAAAAAATATCTTTCAAATGGCAAACCGCTGGTGAGAGGCTACGTAACGGGAAAGCTGGTCTCGCGGGCCCCCTATTTTCGCCGGTTCCCGCCGCGAGAATTTGTTCTGCACATGTACCGTTAGCAACGCCGCTGAATCTCCAGAAGATTCGAGGTTTTTGCGTTTCGTTCGAGTGTGAAACGACTGCAATGCATTAATGGCCAACGATTCAGATCATTCGAGCGTTCGTCTTCCAGTATTCAACTGCAGGTTAACGTTTTGTCTACCACGCCGAAATCACATGTCCCGCTCAGGACGCTGCGGCTTTAGCCTTCTTAAACGTGAAAATTGCTTGCCAATTGTATTTGAATTTCCGCGTCGATTTTCGTGGTTTATGAAAAGGATTTGAGGAAAGCAGATAAAAAAGGACAAAAGTACTGCTTTAGTAATTATCGGTTGCTCTAATTTCGGGCAATATTATGCCTGTCTTGTTCACGTATTCATATACCGGGTTTTGCTTAAATTCAGCATCGAATTAACCTACAAAGTATCTGTGGGAATACCTTGAAAATAATTTCAAGGCCATCAATTCAGTTTTGCGTGTCAATATCTATTTCTTATATTATGTATACGATGTTTTAAGCGACACCAAGACGAATTGAAGATAACTTTGCAATGGCGTAGTATGTAGCGTTAGTAACTTTTCAAAATCTTCAGTAGCAATAGAAATAATTGAACACTTTGAAATCACACGTTTCGCTGAGGACGCCGCGGGAGTATTTTTATTATTCAAAGCATACAATGGGAAAATAATAATAAATTGATGATGTAAGACAATATTTCTCCCCAATGGACCGTTTATCTTATTGATGGTCTCGGGTGACCACCGTGACGCCTTTGTAACAGTTGATAGCGACATATCATAACAAGGCTTCGTTTATTTCAACAAACAATTCGCATTCGTTGTTTCGTCGTAAGCAAAACGTGCAGAATATATTGTTGAACATGTAGAGATATTAGTAAACAGTATTTGCACGTTCTATATATAACAGTAAGATATGTTCACATTTCTAACCTCACTTACATGATTATAAAGCAGCATTCACAATTATTTTCTAAGGTGTGTTTATAATAATATTCGTAGAGTAAAGTGTCGAATGATTCAATGTGAGCAGAATATTCGGTGAAATAGAATATTTTCAGGTGAT